GAAATTAAGAATCGGAATTTTTAAATGGAAATCTCCACATGTTTTATTATGGAAGAAAAAATCAAATGCGCATAAGTAAAGCATTAATAATAATAATAATAATAATAATAATAATAATAATAATAATAATAATAATAATTGCTTGTGGCTTTGAAGTCCGGATTTTAGATCATCCCGGATAATGGACGTCCGGATTTCGGACTTTGTACTGTATAAGCTTTCAGCATGGAATCAGATATCCCTTTGCATAAGACTTTTGCTTTCAGTTGTTTAAACTATGATTTCAATCTAGTCTCATTATTGTCACATGGAACGGGTATACATACACCATATTCAGTAATACTGTGAGGCAAACTATCAGTTTAGGCACTTCTGTGAGTGCAATTTGATCTTAAAAATTGGCTTCAGATAGGATGGCATCTGGCAGAGAAATGCTACAGATCAAATTACAACTGTGCAAGAATTTGTAGAGATCACAATTGCATACAACACTACATTAATCAGCCACTTGTATTTACTTTGCTTCAGGCGTATGCTCAATGATAGAGTATACAACACTACATTAATCAGCCACTTGTATTTACTTTGCTTCAGGCGTATGCTCAATGATAGAGTAATCTGTTCCCTGAAAACTGGCAAATGATTTCTGCTTTTCTGCTTAACGGAATTGTACTCAGTTTCACTGTCACAGGTTATGAAGAATAGCCCCTTTATACATTCCCTAAACAAGTACACATGAGTTTTACCTTATATACTGTATGAGGAAAACCCATATGAATTTAGATAAAAAATAATAGCCACCAAGATCTCAGCTGAAATATAGCTCCATCTGTATAAAATAATGTATGTTTCACTAATATACAAACATAATACTTTAAAAGGCTTTCATATTAGGTATCAGACGAAACTTGCTGAAGTATGGTTGTGGGGGATATTATTTGATTCCTGCAAAAGAGATGAGAATAGCATGAGAGAATCAACCAGCCAAAACTTACAGGAGTTGGGCTTGGAATGTTTATTTTATAACTTATGAAGCTCAAACCTTTCACGCCTTCATTAGTAAAGTAAAACTGAGTTAAATGAGTGGTCTTTCATCTAAGCAAGCTTAATTCTCTTGAAGATTAAGTTCATGTCCCCCTAATAATTGTGTGATGACTGATATACATATTGAATACTATGATACTCATAATCAAAATATTTCTATTCAGTGGCCATTAAAAAGGTATCTAGTGCTTAAAATTATCAAATGCAGCAGCTTAAACTCTCCAAAAAAAAGTTCTGAAAGATTGCCAGCAAGAGCCAAAAAAGACACTTCAAAGCAAAAAATGAATTAATTATCATTTTATAACAATTTAACACAAACTTAGTGAAATGAAACATTCTAGTTACGAATAATGAACAGTTAACTGCTACAAACTTTTTCCTCCCCCTGCAGATTGAATTTGAATAGAAAACATGCAGAAAATTAAATAACTCATTATTAAGCGGGGCATAAAGGATCACTTAGTGAAGAAGCCTGCAAACTATGGTGTTAGAAACTTCTTTTATAAGATACATTATTGATAACAGTGGTCCATAAAAGTTATCAATTAGCCATAGTGGAAATCAGTCAAATTATATGTGTAAAAAATCATATCAATTAGATATATTATTAACAAGATAAACTATATTTATTATTAAGAAATGATAAATAATCGCTTTTTAACTGCTGTTAGTTAAGTAATGCATAATATTAATGGGAATGATAAATTAAAAGATTTTATGCTTTAATGAAGAAATTGTAAAATTTGCTGGGCCACATGGATAATAAAATTTTCTGCTTGTGCATCAAATGTAATATTATGAAAAACAAAAATTGGAAGAGTGAGTTACATATATTACTTACATTAGAATGTATAAAGGTTTAGATTATTTGAAAATGGCAAAGCACATGAGAGCTATCTGCATAAGGGAGAGATGCCCCCATGAAGGACTTTAGGACTGTTTGAGGGAAACTGGCTCAAGTTCACGCTACAGATGGTAAAAATCATAAAAATCACACATACCTGTTCACCTGAGCTTGAAACCAGATCAACCTACCAGTATGCACAAGTTTTTAACAATACGACCACTGGTGGGGGTGGGAATGTATATAAAGAAGATAGGGGGGATAAGGAAATATATTGGTAGTAATTGAATTAACTGAAATACTTGATTATTAAACAGAAAGGGACCATTTTTGCACACAATAAAACAATGCATTGGAAAGAAAGTAATTTCCTGTGAGGAGATACAGTAGAAAGTCCAAGATCTGGGATTTTTCCGGATATTAGATCATCAGTTTAAACCTAGTAAGATGGGATGTAGATATTATAAAATTAAAATATGAAATTGTGATTTATGAAATAATGAAGCATTTATGACCTAAAGGGTGTCAAAATTTCGATAAAAAGAGCTTCATATTTATTTGTTTACTTTATTAAACATTTCTTTCACTGTAAGTTGTTTAAGTTGCTTCCTTTTTTGTGCTAATCTTTAATTCTGCAGACAGACATAATTTCTTCTCCAGTTACATTGCTGAAGTCTGGTAATTGCTGTGTCAAGAATTCTGACTAACTTGTCAACCGAATTTTTTTCATTTTTAGTATCACGTTTTTCTTTTTTTTTTTTTCACAATTAGTAGCAGTATTTTTGGGATCTAGAGCCATACTACAGATTTTGCAATTCATTAATTGATTGATTATTGAGGAACATTGTCATCACAATGAAAAATGTCTTTTATATCATCTTCATTTATTACTGCTTCTCCACATTTCTTTACAAAGTCCATCAATTGGAAAATTTCACATTTGGTTTGCGATATCCGAAAACTCTTAAAATTCACGGCTATCGCCATAATAATTAGCTATTGTTCACTATACATAATTGGTTGTATAGCATGATATAAGTGACTAAAGACAAGTTGTTCTGCTAAATTTTATCTTGCTTCTATCGAGCACTGAGACAATTAAGTCTGAATTATATTAGTTTATTATTTATTATATTTATGTCTATTTCTTGCACATGCTTAAGGTTTATCCGAGTCCTGAATAAACAAATTCCCACTTATAATTAAGCCTTACTGAGGTCCGGCTCTAGATATCTTACCGTCTGATGTAGTCTATGCGAGTCCTAAATTCTGCTACTAAGCGTCTCCCTTTGTCTTCCCCAAATTCTGCCGTCTAATGGGGCCATACGAGTCCTGGTTCTGGCTTTATGTGAATAACTAATCGGTTATTCTTAATAGCACTAAATGTAATCTTTTGGCCTATGAGTACCATTAACAAAATCTATTTTTGGCACATTCAAAAATTTTTATTAAATTTTTCCTTGTCAACATTTCTGAGCGCATTCAACTTAAATTTGTAATCATCTATACTCTTTATTATTCAATTAACTAACATAAAAAAATTGTTTAGGCATCGCTACATGAGTCACTACTCGAGTTGATGAACATGTGGTGATGAAAGCAAAATATAATAAATAATGACTTGCCAGGTTGGCATCAGGGGTATAAAATATTAGTAGGTGTAAAATGAACGATGCATTTATGTAGAATTTTTCGTTTTGAGATGTATGCCAAGCAGACATGCATCTACGGAGCCAAATTATTGATCATACAAATTTATGCTAAAATGATTGTTTCTTCAATAATGAGGTATTTTATTTAGCACCAAAGTGAAATTGAGAATCGGGCTCTCCACATGGGAAGGGGGAGATCAAATGCGCATGCATAAATAAAAAAAGTTGTTGGTGCCTTTGAAATCCGGATTTTAGATCATTCCGGATATTGGAGATCCAGATCTCAGACTTTGTACTGTATTAGAATTCAAAATCGCATCCATACAAAGATTTAGCAATGAAGATGGGGGTGAAAACAGCTTTAAAAAAGAACAGCTGAACTATGGAAAAGCAAAGAACTGAAGCACAGCCAATATGGAAATGATTGCGGACAATATATGCTACTACATGCTCAATGAATTCGGTTGAGATGCATTAAGAAACATTATTGAAGTGCACTTTAATGCTATATAACATTTCTAATGATATTCTGATATGAATAGTTTTGAGAGAGAAATTTTGATCATTTAGGCTGTTCAAACTTAGAATACTTGCAACAGTACGTATGGATATGCTGAAGACTTTAACTGAAACAAGCGTGTTATACATGAGATGATCAAAGAGATTAGAATGCTCACACAAACTTTGTCATGTATCTCCATCAGTTTAATAAGGTTAATACGAAGAAAGTTTTTTCCTGCTTTCAGGTTTCAAAGCTGACCCATTTTTAGATCACACTGTGACATAACACTGAAAAATGGACCCTAAACAATAACGCTAGCTTTCAGAAATAGTAGTTGGTTTGGGTATAGAAGCCTATTTAGGGTTTACATTCATGCATGATCCTGCTATCAATCTGGTGGAAAAGGTTGGGCATTGCTTATTTTCAGACGTTGAAGAACACCACCAGTATCACAGTCTTTGCATACTACCTTCACCTTGGTGATACACATACATCTTTAGCAACAAAATCACCAGTACTGCTCTTGCTCAGTAACGAAAGTATCTTTTGACAGCAGGATGGAATAAGACAATACACAGTTAGAATGGCGTGTAATGAGAGCTGGTCAAGAAACCATTGCTGCATTTAACCAGTTCTCCAGCTACTACTGTGGTGATTACCAGTCCTTTTAAAGCTGATGCAGCACTTCCTGAAAGAACATTGATTTAATCATTGAAATGATTTCATATTCATCTTCTTTGTGTCTAAGCCATTACATTTCAGTAAGAAAGACATCCAACAGCTATTCAGATGATAGTAGGAGGTCATGGTCTATGATGGATATTGTAGATCAGATTGGTTTGTGTTCACATCTAAGGAAAGCAGATATTTTCTGTTACTTTTATTTCACTAGATATCTCTTTCTTTCCAATCCTTTACAAGTAAAACAAAAAATTTGCATGAATCCTTTTAGTCATACCTTCTTATCAATGATTTCTCCAGTCCTCATGCAGCTTTGATCTTCATTTGCTGGATTAGTGAAAGAACCAATACTTCTCATGGACATTCTGTCGTTCCTTTGAATGCTTTTGCGAAATGGCAACATTTTAGTTTTCATATCTCTGAGACAAAATGCACTTAAATTAACACTAACATAAAATTTAAAAATCAATTATTGCTTTACAATTAAAAAAGATACCTTGAAGTAGATGGTTGTTGCAGATCAGAAGTATTTTTGGAGACCTATATACAGAAGCAAGGACAATTAAAAATTTTATGAAAATATATTCAACAACAACAACAACAAAATTTAATGAATAAAGTTAAACCGACATCACTACTGAATGCCAGTGAAAAATTAAAAATGACAGATTCACATTACAAATCTATTAAAGTTGTGGATTATTAAATGATCATAATACCAAAGCTAGTCAAAATTATTACCTGCGAGCTATTACCATAACTGTTTTTGCCAAGTTCTGGTACTTACGGAAAATCCCGTTGTCCATTTTAGCCAATTAAAGAAAAGATGCCAAACTAAACGATTTTTTTTGCCAAAAATGCAAAAGTCTTCTTCAAACACACTGGGTTTGGTGTAGCCTTGATCACACGTGTTAGTTATTATCCTTGAGTTAAAGACTCATTTCCCCCCTCTATCACGCATTTCGAGGGGAAAAAAAAGGATTAAAATTTGGGACCTGCCTACTATAGAACAGGCTGTTGAATATTTCCAAAGTTATGGAATCTTACCTGCCTAAAAAAAAATGTGTTAATGGCAGCTTATTTAAAAACTGAGAAGCAATGGCGTTGCAACGGTAAAGCTTGCGCGAAGCGAGTGTCAATTCGTAAGGGAACATGGTTCGAGGGTTCTATTTCATTTTTGACTGCACTCTAATTCATCTATAGTTGCTGCAAAGAATTGACAATTATTGAATGAGGTAAAGAGGAATTAGAGTTAAGTGACAAGACTGTTATAAATTGCAATAATTATCTGAGAGAAGTTTGCACACACAGCCTTTTATCAAGGCCAATAGAAATATTTGAAAGAAAAATAAGAGTAGAATGTTTTTTTTTCGGTTTTGCGTGATTGCCGCCCTCTCTTGGGGTCGATGGGATTTTTCACAAGTAACCAAGTTCTTATATATTCAGCTTTTTGAACAGCAAATCTGATTAGAATGATATGTTAATAAGAAAGGTTTGGCAAACATGAAAAGAAAGTAGTAACAACAACGCAAATCCTCAAGAAGAAAAAAATCAAAAACTAAAATAAGTGCAAATAAATGAAATGTATGTAAGTATGTAAATAAATGAACTAAAGTAAATAATGTTTCAAGTATGTAAATAAATGAACTTACTGATAAACATTCCAAAATTTCAGGAGGAGAACTTTCCAAGAATTTATCTACAGAATTATAATTCAGTAGATCATTAAAATGCTTTTCTTCTAGGGCTGCATCAAAGTCAGCAGAACATGAATATACCTTAAAGTAGAGAAAGGGGAAAATATAGTAGTCATTTTAAACTGAAAATAAATGAAAGTACAATCCACTGTTTCAATTCCATAGTTTTAGATATCCATCTTAAAGGCCATGTAGGATTAGTCATATTCTGGGATGTTCTCTCTTAGCAGTGTTTGGTATCTCTGGTACTTGTACCAACCTCCCTCAATATGATTTGGTACGTAGAGTTGTTGGGCGATCATCTCTATCCATTTATTAACCCAAAGAAATTTTTTAAAATCAAAGAAATGAACAGTTCATAAATTATAAAATATGACTACAAACAAGAACAGGCCATAGCAAACATTTCAAAAGAAAACTTAAAGATTAGAAGATTTTTTTTTTTTTTTTTTTTTTTTTTTAGAAAGAATCAAGAGAATTTTTTCATTAACAAAAATAAATTTAAAAAAAAAAACTGTTCTATTTAATCTAATTAATGTCTGAAAGTGAAAACACTTACTATTAATATAAAAATATCATATACTATTGAAAATATTTTTATTATTTGAAACATTTTATAGAAAAATAATAGCTTAATTCATTTCTCTACTAACAAAAGCAATGGTTTTCTAATAAAAGGACTATTTACATCCTTCTTCTGACTTTGTCTATATTTTAAGACAAGGCTTATTACTTTGTAGTCTTTCTAGAGCTCACTAGTTTATGCTACCAAAGAAAGCGAGACTCAGCAACCACCAGACATAAAGACATGAGACAAGCATACTCAGCAACCACACCATTTAGCAACGCCATAAATGCAGAGACCTACTTCGATCTCGTTTTGTGTTCACTTGCTGATATGTGTCAGATGACTTGATGTTCAATGAAGAATTTGGTTACATTTTTAGACACATTTACTTTCACGTGTGTAAGTGATAAACTTTCTTTTTTAAAATGAGCGTAATCAAGGAAAGGGGGGGAGGAGATTTCGTACAGCACCTCGAATATGTCCAGTATTCCTTTCATTGCAAGTAGAAATATGTCTGCATAATTCAAAGCAATGTTTTGTTACTTATTGCTTTGATGGAAAATATAATTTACATTATTCTGTCATCCTTTGAATTTGTTTATAATATTATATAGCACAGGTAGAGGGTTTTTTTATTGCTAAAAAAAAAAAAAAAAAAAAAAAAAAACTAGGTTTTTCTAGAACTAGGTTAAAATTGCCTAGTTTTTATACATATGAGATTGCTTACTTTGATACATATGAGAAACAGAAAGTGAAAATACACTGTTAATATAAAAGATCATTTAATTCTACTGTGCATGTTAATAAATTAAACTTTAAAATTAGATATACTACATGAACATAACATTACCTATAGAGCTTGGTTTTAGTTGTGTTTACAGTCTTGAAACATATCACCTACAGATATTGAAGTACTATTACATTACAAATCATATTTTAAGTACTGTTTGATAACCACACACTCAAACCTGGCTCAGACCCAAATTAAAAAACTAACAGCTAATAGTTAGTTAGAGGTCTAACTGCAATACACAAAAAATGCATATCAGAAGTGACTTTACTGAACACAAAACTTAAATGCAAGAATAAGTGTAACAGCAAATTCTCATGGAATTGTCTCATGGAATATGTGATGCCTCAACATTATCCATGCAAAATATGGCCAATGGGGGAAACTCAAGAAACTCTGTGTTTACTAGATAAAAAAAAAAAAAAAAAAACAGTTACAACAGATGTTTAATGCTTACCATAAGAAGTAGCATTGTGGTTCAGTGATAATGTAGGCATCAACAGGTATCAGAAGGGAAAATTCTATGATGCAATAACAAGAAAAATGATAGGATATCATCACAGGGCACCTGTGAAAATCATATGAATAATACTGACCATGCCTCTTTTCACTACATATGGTCACATGATGCTAAATATAGATACAGAAATGTTCATGCAGACCATCACATTGTGTGGAACTACACTCCTGAAGGATATGTTACACTATCACAAACTGCTGAACAGCAGTTAATGTGCTTGATTAAGTCAGTGTATCAGATGGAGTCTTGGCTTTTGGAAATAAATCCTGATTTGCATTTTATGCAAAAATTCAGCCCATTTCTACAGAGAAATAAGACAGGCACCAGAGCTAATGTAACTAATAAGAATTCACCATGCAGTAGAATTTAGGGCCAACAAAATTTTTACAAATTAGACTTTGAATCTTAAGAGTGACACCAGAGGCAGAATTTAGAAGCTGCAGAAATTATACTGGGTGGCAAAAAGCTCAGCGCTAGCACTATGTAGAAATGAAGTGCATCACACAGTTACTGCCTTTGCTGTGGATTAATCTACAGTTCTCAAATGGAAATGAGTGCTTACAATTCAGTTCCCATAAAAGGCAGAAACCTTAGGTCCTTTTGATAACATAATATACAGATGGCGTTCTGATAGCACTTAAATGTTATTCTTAGCACAGAACAAAAATAACAGTGTAACAAGAATGATAACACACCAGGACACAAGTCTGGCACTACATCATGTATATCACTGGTTGAAATGCACTGGATACCAAGTAACACAACAGGTATGAAAACAACAATGTGTTACACGACTTTTCCCAAACTGCCTTCACAATAATAATAGACAACCTATCAACTGCCCTTTCCTGAGCAATTATATTTGTGACACTAAGGTATGCATTAACGCCCATGCTGGAATATTGGACAGCTAACCTGATCACATCTGGCATGCTTTAACCAAACTTATAGCAGAGTCAGAGGTGAACCTTTTCCCTTTTGTAGCTGTTTCATCTGAACAAACAGCTAAAATACACTGGAATGGTCATATTCTTCTCATTTGTTCAGATGCATTGCAGATACCAATTTTCACCAAGCTTAAATAATTCTTTCCATGTGCAACACCTTGTCCTATTTTTCAAAGCATGTGTATCTTACATGCAATAGTGAAGCATGCTAAAATGAAAAGTTTGCAGATACATCTAATCATTAAATATACATTTATGTCTTGCGTATATGTATTTATCTAAGACAAATGGTTCACATTACTGAATTGATTTGTTATTTATGCAATTCAGTATCATATCAAACAGAGAATATTTACTGTACTTGAGAAAAGATACTGTATACACATCTTTTTACATTGAACTAAAAAATCTACGACATCAAATCATATTTTTTTAACATTTTAAAAAATTATTTACATTTCATTGGTTTACAGGTTTTTACTTATTTTTTAAAATCACTCTTATTTTAAAGTAGGAAAAGACACTTTATTTAAGATCTGTAATATAATTTAAATATAATTGTAATTTTAATTTTTTTTCTTTTGTTGCTTTTCAGTTTTCTAAGAAATGAACAGAAAACATTCATTCATTTACTAGGAAGGGGAAACAAGATTTATCTTATTAGCATGAAATATATGAATGATAAATACATTAGAAATAAAAGGTATACATTTTAGTTAGAATATCAAACAGAAAAAGAAAGCATAATACAAAAAGAAGTATTAACTTCTGAACAGAAAATTCATTATAGAAAATTATTATATTATTAATGACAGACAAATCTTTTACTATAAATAAATTTATTAGTAGAAAAAATAACAATGGAAATGACAACAATTAACTGAATTTCTTTAAATACAACCTCAAAAGTTCAATATGGCCACGCAAGATGCTTTGCAACTCGCATTCAATGATGTACAAAAAGAAATTTTCACTTTTCTTTTTTTTAAAACTCTGATAAAGTAGCTTGGGTGTTACGTATTAGAAGCTCAATAACAAGTTCTTAATCTAATCTCTGGAACCATCCATACCGTTGGAAAACATTAAAAATTGCCTTTTGAATACAAAAGATAAAAATACATTATTAAGCAGTGTGCAAACAATTTTCTATGTTGAAATGTTAATATACAGTATTAGAAAGATTTTTTTTTTTTTTTTTTTTTTTTTTTTTTTTTTTTGTTAATACAATGGTGCAAATGTTTAAGAAAACTGCAGGCATTATCCCAATTAGAGCCTTAGAAATAAAGATATAATACACAATACATATATTGCTTTTAAACTGCTCAATTTGTTAAGTAATAAAACAATTAATTTGGGAAATAATTATGAAGCAAAACATATAAAGTATTATTATTATACACACGGTCAATGTTACCTACAACTTAAATAATATTACCAATAAAAATGAAGCATTAGTAAAAATTGAAGAGAAACATAAAAGCAAAATAATTAAAAAAGAAACATACACTTGAAATATTTGAGGAAAGAGATGTTTCGGGACAAACAATACTCGTAGGGTGTAACAAACTGCCTTCATTCACAAGCCAAGCTGATTCTTGAAAACTAAACTCCATGTCATTTCTGCATATATCACCAGGATCTTCTAACAGCTCATGAAGTATTTGTCTTTTAGTTTCCTCCTGCTCTGCAGTTTCACAAGAGACAACTACAACTGCCTTAAAGAGAGAATATAAGAAATATGTTAGCTTTCATTTAATGTTTAGCTTATTAAGATTAGCCTAAAAAGCGTCAAAATCATAATTATAAAAATTAAATAGCCTTTTTATTTTTAAAACACCTTTTTTCCCCAAGTTCAAGTCAGTAACTAATATAGCAGCTTCTAATCAAATTTATCTGTAACTATAACTTGATATACCAGTAATTATTTTCTATGCTTAATGAAGACATTAAACACATCCTCAGCCTTTCTTGATAATTGAAAAAGAAAGTAATTAAAAAAATAAGTTGCAGAAATTAAAACTGAAAAATCAGCTAAGGATCTGAAACATCAAACAATAATAAAAAAAATTATAACTTATTTAATTAATACCACATTAAACACATACTCGGCTTTTCCTGATGACTGAAAGTGAAAATGACTAAAAAATAAATTGTACAAAAACAGAGGTTGAAGAAAAAAATTGGTTATAGCCTATATACAGCAGTATACGAGGTATTTGAGAGCAAAATGACACTTCGAAGAAAACAAATATTCTTAATAGAAAACCCAAATACATTCTACATAATTTGATACACGTTTTTACATTTGTATAGCAAAATCTTATTCAATAAAATATAAATTTGGTATGCTTATCCTTATCAGACATAATATTTAAAACTCCTTTCAATACCAGTAGTTGCTTCCTCAGCTGATAATCATCCTTTCAATAAAAGCTACTGTTGCTCATATTATAACTATAGTACATATTTGTCTTCATAGATTTTTTTCTGACATATTAATTATTGCAAAATATTTGAATAAATAGATTTACTCTCCTGGTAAAATATAATTATTCTAAATATTATAATTACAAAAATATTTACTAGATGTATTTGAACATTTTATTTATTTAACACCAAAATGCCCAACGGAGTTTTTTTAACTCTGCATGTTAAAAAAGCACTCATATCTTTCCTAATTGTTATCCTTCCGTGACTTTTAATTAATTAGTGATGTCTATGAGAAAATCAGAAATGTTTAACTTAATTTGTAATATATTTATGGGTCTATATCCTAGAATGAAAAGAGTCATATCAACTCTAGGGGGGGGGGAAAGCCGCTGTTTTATCATTTCCTTCGTGTTTCGGGGTCATGACCTTGTACTGAATTTGTTTTTCAAAAGTGTGATAGATCAGTTATCGTGACACTTCCTTTTCTAACCCCGAGCTGAAAAAATCGTTAATTCTTTGCACCTGTTGATCAAAATGGTTTACTTCCTGAATTGACTTGTGTTATAATCTTCATAAACGTTCGTGCTACTCAGTTTTGTTCAATACATTCTGAAAAATGATTAACCCCATAAGAAACAGCAAATCTTTTATGTGAGTTAACAGATAAAGAATTTGAAGGGGATGAACTATCAGACATTGAAAATGAGGCCTTTGAACTAGTTGATTTTGAATGTAAAGATGGCTATTCATCAGATTCTGATGGAGGTGAGAACAAGGAAATTTCAAGATGCATCAGGTAATACGGAAGCTTTCATTGCTTCTGATGGCACAGAATGGAAAATGTATAAAAATATAAAATATTTTGAAGGTTTCCAAAACAAAATATTATACGGCAAGATAGTGGACCAACAAATCCTTCTAAAAGAAACGTCAGTGATAATAGTGTGTTAAGTGCTTGGTTTTTATTTATAGATAGCACAATTTTGAATAATGTAAAGAAATGTATTGAAGTAGAGGCAAGGCGTATCCTTGAGAATGACACTTGTTCTTTTCCTGTAGATGAGTTACTTGCCTTTATTGGAATACTAGATGCTCGTGATGTGAGCAGTGCTAAAGGAATAGATTCATTCTTTGTGGTCTAAAATCTGGGGCCTGAAATTTTGCACAAAAACTTTAGGAAAAAACAGGTTTTGTGAAACTTTGCGATGTTTTATGGTTTGACTTGAAATCTACACATAGTACATATTTTCAAAGAGATAAATTGGGAATTGCTTCATTAATAATTATATTTCTTGCTTCAAACCATGGGTAAAGCATAAATATAGATGAACAACTATTTTCAAGCAAAAATGTCCTTTCACTCAATTTATACCATCAAAACCTGATAAATATGGACAAGAGTTTTGGCTTGCTGTGCACATAAAAATAAAATACCTCTTCAATGCTTTTCCCTATCTTGGAAAAAATAAGGAATGACCATACAATCAAAGATGATCTGAATTCCTTTGTTATGAAACAGATAAAACCTTTTCTACACAAAGATCTAAATGTGACGGTTGATAATTATTTTATGCCCCTTCTTTTAGCTGAAGAATTGCTAAAGAAACGAAAAAGCTACTCTAACAGTACATCACGGAAAGAGAAAGAAAAATTTAATGATCTTAAGTACTCTTCATCAAACTGTCGATATAAGTAACAATGAAAAGAAAACCCCAGAAAAAATTAGTTTTTATAATGAAACCAAATGTGGTGTCGATGTAATCAGTTGGCTAGAAAGTGCACCGTAAAAGGACCTTCTAGAAGATGGCCTGTTCCTACTTTTTATAATATGTTAGATTTAGCTGTAATAAATGCCTGGATTATTGTAAAAAGAAATTACTGAAAAATTAATTACAAGACAGACGTTAACTGATGAAATGCATCAGAACTACATATGCCTTACTAATAAACCAAAAAAAGAAATGCAAGCAGAACAGATCCACGAAACAGTTTATAGAGACATTAGGTTACTTTGAAGCAGGAGACATGAAAAGTAAGCAATGCCCTCACTCAGACTTGAACCTCGGACCTCTAGAATACATGATGAGTGTGCTGACCATTACACCATGTTAAGAAGGCAGGAGAAATACCTTACATACACCCCTTTTAAAGGGCGACTGGGGATTATGGGACCTAATCACCAAATCCTGGTGGTGAAGAATGATCATCCACCATTAGTTCGGGTGCCACTGTAGTTTATTTCAATGCAAAAGACATGAAAAATGAGCAATGTCCTTGCCAGGACTCGGACCTCTCGAATATGTGCCAAGTGTGTTGACCATTACATCACGAAGACCTGCTATGAAGATGGGTGAAATACCAATTAAGCTCAGCCCTAAAGAGGAGACAATGTAGAATAAGATTTTGTAATGGTAACATGATTATTAATATTTGTATTTCATACAGAAAAATGGTGTGTGGAAAGTGTCATGCCAAGCTAAGATTATACATACAAAAACTGCATTTCTGAATTTTGAGTTACAGAGAGTTACAATTTAAAGATAATTGTAACTGTATGGATTTTATGAAAAGCATGCCATTTTCTTATAATCATAAATTCAGTTATCCTTTTTTTAAAATTAATATTTGTATTTATTGCTCCTAATTACAAATTTAAATGTTTTAAATGAATAATGTGTTCATTATTGTGCTTATCTTATAAATTCCACTGGAGTTGAAATGACTCCGGCGGGCATTCTAGGGGGATGAAGGTTGTGGGCGTTCTAGTGCTAAAATTTAGTCTTCTTTTTCTCTAGTGATTTTATAAAAATTAAGAGCTGCAGCTTAGATCTATTAAAATACAGAAGTTTTTCTATTCTTAAGACTTTTTAAATGTAATCATGAATTTCTGATAATCTAATGCAGCCACTGCTTGAAAAGCCTTTTCCTCAAGTTGTAGATCATTGAAAGAATTAAGATATAAAATCGAGTAGCACATGTAACAAATTGATGCTTGTGTATAACACACACACACACACACACACACAAAAAAAAAAAAAAAAAAAAAAAAAGAGCTATTTTTGAACAAACACACACACACACACACACACCACACACACAAAAAAAAAAAAAAAAAAAAAAAAGAGAGCTGGTTAGAACTACTATTTAAATCACTTTTATACCCCTGAAATCAAGCTTGAGGAAGCTTAAGAAAATTGTTTAATTGTTTCAGTTATAGTGCCTGGGTTTAATTGCTCACTAGTATTAACTACATAGCTGTATTACAAGCCAAACTATTTGTATTAACATCTGCCTATACTAGCTTGTAGTGCAAATTTGGGAAACAGTTTGGTCTAAAGGCTACAGTAGAGGTTTAAAAAAATTGTGGGCTGCAAATAAAACAGTATTTAAAATTGTTATTATCAGGGTTTTCCAACATAAAAATAACCACAGGGTTGCCACACAAACAGAAGCATGAAATTCCTTGACTTTTCCAGTTTTTGCAAGTATGCTTTAAGAAAATTCCAATCTACCCGCGTAGTGTGCGCTGCCTCTACTGAGGGTAAATAAATTATGGTATCACTTGAAAACCCAAAATTTGTGAATTACACATGGCTTAACATTTCCAAAAGCGTTACTATTATAACTATAATTAGGAGTTCTCAATAACTTTTAAATTTTGTCAAACTAAGAAAACTTGCTATATAATATTTGCCCACTCAACCACCATTCTATTCAACAATCATCAGCTGTATCACAAAATCAGTTAAGTACAATCAATTAAATTCCCTAAATTACATGAAAAGAGTATATGATGCCAGAAGCCATTGCTAGTGACATTGAAATGCATTTATTATATAATGCCAGCACAAATATAATTAGTTAAAAGTAAAACTTAAAAATTAATTTTACACGCATAAAACATGCATTTACAAAAGAAATTAAATATTTTCAATACATTCCATCTAAGTGATAAACAAAATCAGAAATGAAACTCCTTGATTTTTCAATGCAATGTATGAACTTTTAAACATTGGATTTTTTTCATCAATATTTGTGATTAAATTATGTCATGAATGACAGCTTTATTGTTTTAAAAACTATTAAAGATAAATTCTGGAATGGAATTTTACATTTACAAAATGGTAATGGGAGACCAGTTATATCTATGCAACGTAATCATGGCAACGAAAATCATGTTTTGGGATATGCATCATGAGTATCATGCATAACATTTAATATAACACTTTTGCAAAATTTAATTAATACTTTATGTTACAGTTTAACATTACATAAGAGTTAATAAGATGCACACAAAAATTCACTATACCATAATAACTACATATATAACACTTACCAATAACTCCTCTTTTTGATGTATTGTCATGCCTTCCTCATACAGACCCAGTTCTTAAATAAAGAACAAATATTATCCTTTTATACAAAATACATATAACAAATACAGGCAGTTTAATAGTATATGGAAAATATTAATACCTTGTAATTTCTGATCCAAATTAGCTTCATATTCTTGCCGAGCTGCTTTAGCGAAGCGGTCTTGATTAGTCAATGAAAATTCTAAATTGGGGCTTTGTGAAAACATGGCCACCTATAAATTTAACCTCTATTTACAAACTTCTATACATAACATAGGGAGGAATTTTATTAGGTAGTCATCATACATTAATATTTATTATACATTAACATTATTAATAATTCTGAAAATATTAATAATTCAGAGGGGAAAATATTGGTCTCTAATAAAAGTTTCCCATTACTGCAAATATTGTCTTTTCAAACAGTTCGTGTTGGTGTGTTTAATCATATTTCGTCAAAAAATTTTTGGTATTTGAAAGAGACTTGCTTTAGAACATTGTGTTGTGAAATTTGTAAATAAATATCGTTATAATTAAGTGCAAGGTGTCTGAAGTGGAACTATCATGCTACCAGATTAGAACCATCATGTACTTCCTTGTTGCAAAAAGTCAGCTATGGAAGATCAGTATGCAACCAATCGAGATTTTGCTAAGGAGTTAGACATTTGTGCCACGCCCATAAGTGCTATGCACCGCATAAACTTGACATACAAGTTCAATCGCTGGGTGCCGTATCAGCTGACTCAAAAAGATAAGGACAGACATGTTCGGACCTGCACTAATCTGCTCGACTATCAATGCAAGGAAGAAATTCTGGACTGAATTGTCATTTGTGATGAAAAGTGGATTACTTCAACAATACATGCCGATAGTCTGCGCTTGGTGAGCCCATCGGCACTGTCGCTAAGTGCAATTTGACTAACAAAAAGATCCTGCTTTTTATCTGGTGGGATTGCAGTGGTATTACAGTCAAATACCGAAAATCCTCCGACCTGAAATCTGCGTTGCCTCTCAGAATATAAACATTCAGTTTACAGGTTCCGGAAACCGCAACATTGAGTACGAAATATTGAAGAAAAAAATACTTACTGAATAATGACGTCATAATTACTGAATAATAGTGAATCAAAACGGAAATACCAAATTATTGATATAAAAAGTTAAAAAAAAATAAGTTAAAAAAAAGATAAGTTTTTTCCCCCTCTAATCTGCATCGAGGTAAAAAAGCAGAAGATTCACTCAACTCTTTGTTCAAGTTCACGTTTCACGTTGTATTTTCTGAGCTCTGTTATTTCATTTCACGAGATTTTTTAGTGCTGCCTTTTTTATAATATTTTGTGGATAAATTAAGAATATTTTTAATTTCAGCCCTTTTTAATACAATGACAGATAAGAAACGCACTTGTGATTTTACCGCTTGCAACGCTGAAAAACGTAAGCACACGTTGCATTGACAGTAACGCAAAAAGTGCAAATTTTGCAAAAGATGGAAGCAAGTGCTACTCCTCGATTTATAGAAGAATGGTATGGAATTGCGACACAATTGCGTATGATATATGGAAAAATACAGAAAAGCTGTTGAAATTTTACAACAACAGTGATTCTAACACCGGAAATCTTTGCATGAGGTGAAATCGGCAAACCTTGATGCTGTGTACATATAATGCAATAAATAATATAATCAATTTATATATGTAATAATAATTTAATGTATGTAATAAATTATTGCAATAATGTATATAATAATTTAATTAAATGTATCTAATACGCCTTATTCATTTTGCACTTTCAGTCCAAATATGCTTTATCTTTTCTGTCCTGAAATCCGCAAAGTCCTAAAATCCGCACAACCTCTGGTCCCAAGCTTTGCGGATTTCTGGAATTCTACTGTACCCACAAAATGTATCTGGAAAAAAGGTAAAAATCTTTGACAGTAAGATGTACAGTGAGATGCTAGTCCGTCTTGACGTTGCTATCAAGGAAAAATATCGAACTGAGTTCTGGAGAGAAAAGGTAATATTCTGTGAAGATAATGCAAAACTATATGTGCCTGCATTCACTGGCTGGAGTCTGTATAGAATCGAATGGGATCTTTTGCCACACCCACCTTATAGCCCTGACATCGCTCCTTTGGACTTTTACCTTTTTTCACAACTGCAGCTACATCTTGCTAGTGCTATCTTCCATTCTGCAAAGGACATCTGAAATGAGGTTGATCTGCTTTTGGATTCATGGCCATCAAGTTTCTGGACAGAAGGCTTTGAAAAACTACCAAAATGTTGGCAGAAAATCATAGATTTGGGTGGTGATTACAACCAGCACTAAAGTGTTGCTTTCATGTTTTTTCCCTAACTTTATTAAGAACATGTTTGGTGGAAAACTTTCGTTACAACCAGATATATAAACTCTGTATCAAAAGATTATACTCTTTTATGCACTTTGACATGTTATTAAATTTGATTCATATTAATTATAGGAACCATGAAGCCAAACATGGCAATAGTCAGATTTTTCTGTTTAGTCTAAAAAGAAAAACTATAAATCAGTTCTCTTCTCTTGCAGATTGTGCAACTAAATATGGCATTTTTGCATTTTAGTTACCTTCTGCCACAGTGACAGCTAATCCAGCAAAACTAATCAGTAATCAATGCTTACTGTAATTTCAATCTTTTAGCTACCAATGTGAATGTTCAAAAATTATCTTACTCAAATAAAACATCACAGTTTGAAAATGGGAAGCAAATGTGTAATCTAAAAATAAATTATAATGTTATGACAAACAAATATTAATATAACAATGGGAAATGCAATACAGCAGTAAGGAGAAATAAAAATGAATAAACTATATATTGAATTAATGCAAGTTATCCACTTACATACCTCAGAATCAACGCTGTCACTATCATTTTGGTCCTCTGTGTCCTCTTGCATCTCCAGTCACTACCGCCTTTTTCTCCAAACTGTATGCATTTAAGAAAGACTAATGGGAGAAAATATTTTTAAATTGTTTCATTAAATGTTCAACAAAAGCAATTCTGTTCATTAGCAATTACCTGTAGCTCTCTATATATACATGCAGGTATGCATGTATGTGGTGAGCGTATATATATAGTATATATATATATATATATATATAATTTAGATTAACATATATAATTTAATTTAGATTAGCCATGTTTAATTAACTATAACTTAATTAATTGCTTATACACTAACAACACGTTCTATGAAAAAATTAGTTTAATAATGCAAAATAAACCTGATTTTTCTGTCTAGAAGACTGTCATCCCATTCGTTTGATGAATCTGATTACTTGTAGGGTTGAGGTTACATCTTTGGCAGCTTTCTAATTAAGAAACAATTAATTTTTAGTTTCTATAAATACTTTTCTGATCTTAATATAAATCATGATTAATTTTTTAAAAATATATTATTAGTTAAAAAGAAAGTGTATCTTTATGATTATTTAAGAGACTATGCACTATGTTGTCAAAATAGGCAACCTAGATGTGAATGCATGCAGCAGATGAGAGCTGACTTCTACCTTCAAATTCGATGGCCATTTTTATGACTAGTGTTTGCTTTTGCTGCATTTGAGTGCACTTCCCCCTTTATACAGAATCATAATGAAACTGTCGTGTTTGCTGGCTGATGAAGAGAGCATTGCATTTCTTCAGAAAAATGGCATTTTGTCCAACAATTCAGAGTGCAAAAAATTCACATTCCATAAAGTTGTACTGCTTAAATGATCAAAATTGTTGCAATCCTCTAATATTAAGCTAAAACAGATTTCTGTATACATGGGGAGCACAGCTGCATGCCCAGTGGGAAGTTGAGTGCGATGCTGAGTTTGTGAAGCTTAAACAGTTTTGAAGGAGGTTTTTGAAGCTTAAACACATCTTTGTGTACATGGACAGAACAACTGTAATTTGGACATCCATTATACGGAATGATCTATAATCCGGACCTAAAAGCCACAAACTTTTTTTTGGTATGCTTTACGCATGTGCGTTATGCATTTATGCATGCGCGTTTAATGTATAACGGACGGTATAAGCTAGGCTAAAATTATCTTTACTGATTCTACGGCATTTCAGTTAATTTTGCAGATTGCACTGTTTCTTAATCTTCTAATTGGATCTGGATTATTATTTTTTGCAGACTGTTAGAGCAATCTTATAAAAATTAAGCTTGAACTTTCGATTATGTCAAAAAGAGTTTCCAATTCTGGAGCTGCCAAAGGATCACAATGCAAAAGCATGTTTCGATGTACCGCTTTCAATAGTGAAGAAGAAGAGAGGTTATTGAAAACAAAAAAATTTCGATTGCCAAGTTAGTCAGTATTCTCGACACAGCAATTACAGGACTTGAACAGTGGAACTGAACAAGAAATTATGTCTGTTTATAGAATTAAAGAGAAAGTATTAGCACAAAAAACGTAGCAACTAAAACAACTTACATTGAAAAAAAAAAAAAAAAATGTTTAATAAAGTAAACAAATAAATATTAAGCTTTTTTTTTTTTTGTAAATTTTGATACCCTTCAGATCATAATTGCTCTTTATTTCATAAATTACAGTTTAATATTTTTAATTGTATAATTTCTGCATGCCATCTTACCAGATCTAAATTGATGATCTATAATCCGGAAAAACCCTTAATCTGGAATCGCTGAAGTCCTGATGAGTCTGGATGACGGACTTTGTACTGTACTTTATTAGGGATTTTTTAAAAATATTTTTGGTTTGTCTTGGTTTATTTAATTATGAGAAAGCACTTGAGAGCTATCTGCCTGTTCTTAAATTTTTGATTTTGTTAATTGGTTGCTGTTTACTTGGTTCTTAATTTAACGCCATTTTTGAAAATGGCTGAGTCTTGCATAAAAATTAGTTGCCAACAGTTTACTTTGCAAGAGGGAATAATCAGAAAATTAAATCAGAATTACAAAGCGCTCTTTCTCTATATTTAGACTCATTAGTATAAATAAACATATTAATTTGTTCAGTCTAATGTAGCACCCTCTTGTGAGAGTTGCCAAAGTTAGTCAGTCAATATTTTGAAGCAATTATGCAGCGGACTTAAGGTGTGTTTGCTCATCCCACCTTTATCTGTGTTAACAGAGCACTTAATTTTGCAATGTTGCACATTATGTAAATAATTAAATATGTTGTGCGGCCTAGCTTAGTATCATTTCAAACCAGTGCTATCATCTTTTGTACCTAAAGGAAACACAACTGCAAAATTATCTAAAATGCAAGCTTTTTGGAATAGGCACAATTAATGTGCCAACTTTTTTGTGGCTGCAACAGGTCTGCTGAAATAAAAAATCGAATATTTAATCTGCCTTCGCCTCCAATTTCTTATTCATTATGGATCAACAATTCTATGCCATCCAAATTTCTGCTAGTCCTTATGTCTGAGTTTGATTTCATCGCATATATATATATAAATAAATAGATACAATCAAAGCAAAAACAAACATTAAAAAAGAAAAATAATTGCCCAATTAGAAAGAGGAAATCAGCTCATCTGCTGCATGCAAGCATTCCAGGTTTGCCTCATACTTACATCTTGGTGATGTAGAATGAATAGTTTTTAGAGGGATAAGGATAATCAGAAAGAACCAGTATTTTCACGTTTTGTACGTTAAAACTTGTGAATAAATCATCGTCAGACAACTTTTGGACTCAACAAACATGAAGATTGGCAGAGATCCCACCAATCTGGAGAATTCTGAAGGTACTGATTCCTCTTTATTTAATAAACCATTGGTATTCGTACTTCCTTTTTGTGTACTTCCTTTTTGTGTTCATATAAAGATTTTTGTACATTTCTATTATTTTATCTGACATTTCAATTTTAATGGGACCTTTGTTTAGAATGCTGAGTGTGAACTTCTCAATGATAATTGTTCCAATCTGCTGTTGTTTCGTCAGCCATATTCAGCTTACTATTAAGTAGATTAAAAAGCATTTTTTTTTTTTTTTTTTTTTTTTTTTTTACTGATAGTATAACTTTAAAAATAATCCAATGCTTGATATTCTGTCGAAAGCAGAATTTTACCAAAGCAGAATTACCAAAATTTTAATATTTTTTTAAATGCAGGAGAAAAATACATCAGTAATAGTTAATTTACATCCTTGTTCATAAAAGCAAAAATGTGGCTCATCGAAAATCAACTGGGGTCATGTCAAACAAAAGCACAGATGTTATAAGTGTGTTGTGACCTTATGTACATTCTTAAAAAAAAAAAAAAAAAAAAAAAAAAAAAAAAAAAAAAATCGAAGCACCATGAAGAAGTGGTTTTTGAAGAAATTGAATATATGTATAGCTCATACACAGATAATAAAATAATTAAAAAATCAAGGTCATAGTACTTGTTCACGGCTCACAATCACCCATTGAGTGCTCAAATTAGTAGCTGGTCGAACCACCCTTGGCGAAAATGCATGCTTGAATTCGTCAAGGCATGGAGTGAGAGGTTCCTAATGTCATCCTGCGACACATCCTGCCAGGCATTTATCAGTTGTCACTCCAGATCTGCTATATTTTGTGGTGCCCGAATCTGGCGGCTTAGAGTGTACCAGACATGCTTGATTGGTGAAAGGTTTGGTGACCTTGCTGGCCAAGGAAGAGTATCAACCGCACGGAGACTGCTGAGATATGCAAGTGGTATGTGACCTGGCATTTTCTTGTTCGTAAATGGCCCCAGGATTATGTGCCATGAAGGGTAATGCAACCGGCCGCAGGATTGTATCAACATGTTGTTGAGCTGTTAAAGATGTACGGAGGATAACTAAAGGTAACCTGCTGTCATAAGAAATAGTGCCCCACACTATCACACCCGGGGTTATGGCTGTATGCCTTTGTAAAACAGAGGCTGATTGGGACCGCTGGCCCCGTCCTCTCCAGATGAACGATGAACGATGGTCCTACGAACACGATGGTCATCTGCTTCAAGAGTGAAGCAGGATTTATCGCTGAACACTATACGATGCCAGTCTGATGGCAACCATGATGATCGGCTGTGACACCACTCCAGACGACTCTACCTATGTCGTGGGTTCAAAGGCAAACATCTTAAAGGCCTCTGTGAGCATAACCCCACCTCAGACAAGCGCTGTGAGATGTCGGAAATTTCCTTGTAGCAACCATTGCTGCCAACATCTTTGCACAGCAATGTCTGTACGCTGCAAGTGGTGGCCTATTGCTCAGTATGACCACCCACCTTCATGCAACCCTACATGACCATGTTGGAAGGCGTTAGTTATCTGCAAGGTCTTCGATATTGTTGTAAGGGCATCTTTAGTTGTTCCTTTACAGAACTACAATGGCAGCAACGAAAAAAAGATAATTTTTCTGCCTCTGTTACTGGTTTTATACTTTGCAAATTGCGCACTAGAAATGTGCACTATGATCGCAATGCTTGTTCATTTGCATACTTGATCAAGATGTTTTTGCATACCAAATTTTGTCATGATTGCAAAAGTCCTTGGTGCTTCGATTTTTTCTGCAAAAGAGAGTACAGTCAAAAGCCGTTAATCCGGACTTGTCGGGACTTCGGCAATTCCGGATTATCGATCATCAGTTTAAATCGCGTAAGATGGCATGCAGAAATTCTAAAATTAAAAATATGAAACCGTAATTTATGAAATAAAGAACAATTATGATCTAAAGGTTATCAAAATTTACAAAAAAAAGCTTAATATTTATTTGTTTACTTTATTAAACATTTCTTTCAATGTAAGTTGTTTAAGTTGCTTCGTTTTATGTGATAATACTTTCTCTTTAATTCTATAAACAGACATAATTTTTTGTTCAGTTACAAAGTTTCGCTGTTCAAGTCCTGTTAATTGCTGTGCCGAGAATACCAACTAACTTGTCAATCGAAATTTTTTCGTTTTCACTAACCTCTCTGTCACATTCTTCATGTCTTTATCCATTTTTTGCAGCAATTCCACTTTTTGTTTGATGGACATCGAAATATACTTTCGTTTTTGTACGATCCTTTGGGAGCTCCAGATTCGGAAATTCTATTTGACATAATCGAAAGTTCAAGTTTATTTTTATAGTATTGCTCTTAGAGTCTGCAAAAAATAAGCCGGATCCAATTCAAAAATTAAGGAACAACGCAATCATCAACATTAACTGAAATAGATAATTAGATAATTTTAGATACCGTTTGCTATACATAAAACCTGCAAGCGAAAACGTATTCTGCGCTTGCGCACACGCAAGTGTGCAGTCGTAAGAGGTCTTACGCGCACGCGTAAACGCCTGTGTCAACGCGGCGCATGTGCAGAGGTCCAGATTATGGGTGTCCGAATTAACGACTTTTGACTGTATATCTGTAATTGGCATTAAATCCCACTGCTTGGTGACAGTTTTTTGATCGATGGATAATACCTAAGTACCTCCTTTTTTTTCAAGTAAATTTACAGTAACAGAAACTTCTTGGAATACTAGAGCAATATTTTGGGAACATTTTGATGACACATTGCATATTTTACTACTTAGGGAAAGAAACAGATTTTTGTTTTATACTTTCAAGGAAATATGACATGGGTCCTTTTTTTCATAAACAAATAAATATACGAGCAAAATAGGCAGGTATATTACTTATTTTTCTGAAGAAAGATGATCATATTCTAAAATAATAGAAAATGTGCAAAACAAAAATATCAGCATAATCTAAATTTAAAATATACTCAATGAGCATTAAGATAAAGATTCAATCTGCAATTTTTCTACTGAGCAAAATTCTTCATTTAGACAATATGCATAATCAATCTAATATATAAAGCAAATGATTCTTGAACAATGTGTTCTGAACAACAATACTTTTGCAGTGCATCAAAAATATCAAAGAATGTTAAAGCTACCCTTATTAAGATATATCTACTGCCTTCTTAGCAAGCCTTCATGGTGTAGTGGTCAGCACCCTTGACGCGTATTCGAGAAGGCCGTGGTTCGAGCCCCAGCGAGGGTATTGCTCATTTTTAATCTCTCCTGCTTCGAAATAACCTAACTACACCTTGAATGATATGGTGTTCAGTAAAGACAGACTGCCATGCTTGACAAAATCATGCCAACTTGCCACATTAAAAAAAATCACAATTTTTTTTTTTTAAAGAAATCAAGAGAATGTTTTCCAACAACAAAAATAATTTTAAAAATGTAAAAATCTTATTGAAGCACAGCTAGTATCAGTCTCAAAACTCACCTTTCAAGTGCATCACTTTTCAAATTACTGCCACCAAATGTTATCACCATGCACTATTTTTAAAGAAATTAAATAATAAGGAACCTGTTTACATGCATATATACTCTCCATGCATTGTGGAAAAATGATGGCACATACAGCCATCAAATTCTGAATACATGTTTTCTTCTCCCAAGAACATGTGCACCTAAAAGACTGAATTTTTAATTTTTTTTCCTATTTTGCACAAATTTAATAATTTTTTTATTAATAAACATAATGATTTGAAAGTGAGCACTGGTAATAATGTTCGAAATAAAATATTTTAATCTCCAGCACATGAGACCGTTACTACTTGGACAAATGCAAGATGTATATACAGTACAAAGTCTTTAATCCGGACCTAAAAGCTTCAAACTTTCTGCACAGGCGTAAACGCATTACGCGTGTGCATTTAATGTATAACGAACAGTATAAGCTAGGCTAAAATTATCTAATTATCTATTTCAGTTGAACTAGATGTTGATCTGTCAGCACTATCCTTATCTTCAGGGCGGATGTTTTTATTTTATTCGGCTTATAATTCCTTACTAAATGTAGTATTTCATCTCGAGGTACTCCGTCTTTGATATGATTTAAATCAAATTCCTCGTCATTATAAATATCACGAATACACATGAAATAATTTTCTGGTTGCAGTTTTCTAATTTTGACTATGCGCAATGTATACGAGCGTTGAAAGAAATGTTTAATAAAGTAAACAAATAAATATTAAGCTATTTTTTTTTGTAAATTTTGATACCCTTTAGATCATAATTGCTCTTTATTTCATAAATTACGGTTTCATATTTTTAATTTTATAATTTCTGCATGCCATCTTACCAGATTTAAATTGATAATAATGTAATATCGGAAAAACCCCTAATCTGGAATCGCTGAAATTCCGACGAGTCCGGATTAAAGACTTTGTACTGTATTTCAATTTAAATAACAAATCTGGCTATTTGAAAGCTGTTGCCACTGCTGGAAAAATATTTTTACCTTCCATGTACCAGCATGCTCTCATTCAGTAAAGCCTACCATATTTAACTCCCAAATTTAATCTGGAAGGTTATTGAGTAATAGAAAAACTACTTTAAAATCAATAAACATCATTCTTAATATTTTTTCTTCTTCTTAATCTGATTTAAATAAAAATGCATTAAAAATGCATCATGGGATATCTAATCAAGAAAATTAAATAAGCTAGATTCATTAAAATCATAATATACTTTTCCTTTTTTTATGACAGCTAGTTTCAAAGAAATAATACAACAAATAGATTTTAAAAAAATGTATCTGCAGGGGATTCTGAAGATATGCTGTTTTCAAATATTTCATGATTTTGCTATTGGAATTTATGTGGTATAAGTGTGAAAAATGTGATATTTAATAAACACACACAGAATGTTAATAATAAAAAAAAAAAAAAAAAAAAAAATTTGTTAAGTCATCTTACTAAGAAAAACTGAGCAGTGATATGAGAACTGAAAGATTGAAAAAATAGAAAAATGTACACTAATGCTTAACACTGTATCGGAAATTCTAAATATATGCTGCTATGTTGCTTTTAGAAATTTTTTTGATTCTGCAGTTGAATTGTATGCCACGTAAGTGCGAAGAAAGTGCTGCTTAATAAAAAGCTAAGAAGGAAACTGTGTTAGCAAGACAGTTTAAGAGCACACAGCAATGTTTGGGAGAGCATACAAAAACCTTAAAACACTCTTTGTAGTGTTAAAATTTGAATCCTTTCAAATTTCCTCTTTTCTTTAAATAAAAGACTATAAATTCTATGTAATTAATATCTGAAAGTGCAATAAAAAATTTTAAATGCAATTACTAAAAAATACTTTTGCATTACAAAATACATTTATTATTTGAAATATGTAATAGAAAAATAATATTTTGACTTGCTTTCATACTGTTGGTAACAACAGTTTGAATGCCAATATGACACCAGAAATGCATGATATAGCTATGTCGTCCAAAAAAAAAAAAAAAAAAAAAAAAAAAAAAGGAGTGCGGGATTGGCGGGAAAGGTGATTTATCAGTCAAACATGAGCACCATGAAATGAAATAAAGAAATAAGTAAAATCAAATTTTGATACCTTCTGATTATCCACAATCTCAGTTTCAACATTTGGTCAGAATTGTATTTTTTAGTAGATGCAACTACGCTAACCAACAAATGCAAGTACCACATACGATTGTACCTTAAAACAACTTTAACTTTATTCATTACTGGGCAATGGTTATGAAAATGTAAATACTGGCTATACAGATTTTTTCTGCCCAGAAAATTTCTATTTTGTTTCTTATGTATTATCTCACTGGCTGTGAAACTGTCACCAAGCAGCCCAATTTAATGTCAGTTATGGATAAATGTGATGTCAGAACACACTTATAAGACCTGACTTGTGCATGATGTAATATTGATTGATTCTGTATGAGACACATTTTATTTTTATGAACAAGGATATAAATAAACTGTTTTTATTACATTTTTTTTTTCATGAATTTTGAACCAAAAAAATTAGGATTTGTATGATTGGCAATGAATGTGTTAAAAGATCATCACTTTGGCTTTGTGATATTAATCCTCAGCAAGACAATTTAGTTTTTGTACAAAAAGATATAAGCCAACTGCTATTAGAAAAACAGATTCTCTCTGATTATCCACCCAATCCTGACAAGAATCACTGAATAAAGCACTTCGTGGCCAAAGACGCAAACCAGAATTTTACCAAAACGTATTTATCTGGAAACCCACTACTGGTTGCACACGATTTTGAAATTTAAGGGTTCCTGCTATTTTGTGGTTTCTTGCTGTGATCAGTGTGTAAAGTTTTTCCCTTTCTTGCAAGGAATGAATGACACTGCAAAGTTTGCCTGCTAATGTAGAAGGCTAGCTGAATGACTAGCTTTTATTTATCTCCGATATTATATTATTATTAAAATCTTGCAGCTTGAAAGTTGTTTAGGAATTATTCTTAGGTGATTGTGATAATAGCTTTTTTCAACTTTTACACAGTTCTCTGATTTTTTTTTTTTTTTTGGTGCTAATATAGAGGGTGTTTACACATTTTTAGAAAAATTTCGATAAAAAATTAAAAAAAGCAAATATTTTCAAATACTTTTAACTCTATTTGCTTATTTATCATTATTTTAGATTTATTTGTTATTATTATAAGCAACATTATTAACTGGAAAGGGAACAACTGTCAATCATTACTTCTACATGGGAAAAGACTCCACACAAATACATGAAAAAGGTTGTGCTTCTAATGTTAAATCACTGGTAATAAAAGAAAATTTGAAGATGCAGAAATCAATTGCTAAGTCCTTAAATAATCTTCAGCAGCAATAAATAAAATAATAAATTTACAGTTCAAAAAAGCTAAGAAAGATAATGTCACCAGCTTTTGCTGAGGTTTCAGCACAGAACAGTTAGTACAATAAATACTGTATGAAAAATATTTAGGAGAAGATAAATGAAAATAAATTGTGACCTTTAATGAAGCACAAGTTAACTTAAATTACTGCAATAAAAAAAGTCTATTCATCATAGAAAATGTACAAACCTGGTTCCATTAATGCAAAGAAGGTTTCACATAAAGAGTTTAGAATTGTCACATTCTTTTTGCAATGGGAAATTTAAAATAAGAAAAGTGAGGAAAAAACTCTTAAAATCAACTCAATGTACTATCAAGAGAAAGGTTTGCATAATACAATATTTACAGAAGAGATTCCATTTCTTTATTGCAATGACTTTCGAAGAATGAAACTTCATTGGGACAAAGCAACAAATCAGACTTCAAAAAGTACCCTTACATTCCTTGAAAAAATTCAGACTGATGGGGGTATTCCATATATATAACTTTTCGGCGGATTCCTGAGAAGTCAACTGAAGTTTCACCTGTAGACTAGCATTCTTCTGGTTTTTTGAAAGCTCTTTCTAAGCACAAACCTACCACGATTGATGGAATCTGGAAAGTAGTGGGAGAGAAATGAAAATCAATACCACTGGAAATTTTACAATAAGCCACTCTATCATGGAAATCACAATGCAAACATATATCGAATCATATGTCTGTTCCGATCACAGCCCATCAAATCGAACATTTAAAAAAACAGATACATCTTTATTATAGCAGCCACCTAGACTGAATCAATAATCAACCGAAATATCTCGTTGAAATCTCACGTGTTCTTATATGTGGATACATGCTAGATCTCGGTTGACTAGTGATTAAATTTTGGAGGCTGCTATAATAAGGAATACCCAAAAATGCTCTTTATATTTTAAACATTAATTAAATGGCCCAGTTATCGTTCTAAAAATGTGTAAATAATGAGTGTAGCTTCCAAATTTATGCAATTCTCCAATATTATCTTTTAAGTAAAAACAAGTCGATGTGTATGTGGAGAGCAGTACCAAGTTCTTCTGTAATGCTGAGAATTCTGCAATTCTCACATGTTAAAACAGATTCCTGTGTACATGGACAGGAGACCATGAAAAAAGAAAGTGTGTTTTATGATGGATGTTTGTAGCTTTTTTTTAATTAATTTGCTGCTGTTTTGTACAATTTTCATTGTTTCATTACAGATGTTTCTTATGTTTTTAATTTAATTAATTTATTTTTCTTTTATGTAATTTTCATTGGGCCACCATTTATTAAAATGGCTAATGTTTTTCAGTAGTTAAGTTATCAAAAAATAGTCATTAATAATTAGTAACTAATAATAGTCACTAATAATTAGGAGGGTTGGACAGATAATTACAGAACCAAAAAGTAATTAATATTTGAGACTGCAAATAGCAGAATATATTCAAAGTTATAAAGCACATACTCAGAAAAACTGAAGGGTTTGACGACGAAGCACAATAAAACACACTGCAGAACAATACACCATCACTTAAATTCACATTTAACCCCTTAAGGCACACATTAATTTCTAATTTTCGGTCAAAAAATCGCCTATTTTTTTTCTTGCATAATCATGCCAGGGTTAGCTTCAAATCGAAATCTCGGTGGTGCAACGTTTGGTTGATTTTATACTAATTTGATACCAATTCCTTGCTATATCCAAAATCTCGTTGTCATTATCTTCCGATTCACTTCCATCACTCAAGAAATCATCACTCTCATCGCTGAAACTGTCTGATAAATTGGCATATTCAAAATTGTCATCGTCAGAGTCGCTCATTATCAGATAACTTTTTTTTAAATTACAAAAACACTTAGTAATATAATTTGCAGTTAACTGCTTACTTTTATTATATTTACGTAATAAAAATGGATATATTACCTTTTCCACACCAAACGACTACTTTATAGCAAAGAATTCCTAGCAAACTTATAGCTAATCATCAAAATGCGCCACGTGGTTTACACAAGAAAAATGCTGAATAGTGGTGCCATCTATGTCAAATAAGTTTAATTATAATCTAGCCTATTTATTTTTACTGGAACGGATCTCAGACAAGCATTAGAAATAAAATAACGCGAGATACAAGGGCGCCCGTGTGAGACACGGGCATGTGCAAATTTGCTGGAAACTTTCGCCCGTGTGAGACACGGGCAAATGCGTTAAGTGAATTTATATGGTGCTGAGTTCATAAAGAAGTTAACAATTTTGTGGCTGTTTTAAACACCATTATGGAATTTTGGTCACCAGAATGAATGGTATTAGTTTTAATGAATTTGCTTATCACGCTATCTCGGAACTTGAGCTCATATTTATTTAATTTTCTATGTTGCATATAATGGTATCTCAGTGTACGTCTACTTCGTCCTGTCTGGATGTGAAAATTTTTACCTGGTATCTAACATTCGTTTCGAACAAATGTTGATGTCATGTTCCGATCACAAATGTCAATGCCATACCTCCAGCTTGATGAGTCTTGAGCATGCACCCTATACTTGTTTATCTATTTCAAAACAATGCTTTGGCTACCCAGGAGCATAAGTACCACAAATGCTGCTTTTCAGTAAAAAACCTGTGTTACAACTCAGAATTTTAAAGTGATTTTCTGTTTTTTTTTTTTTTTTTTTTTTTTTTGCATATATTTTTTGTAAATTAATTAAGAATGAGTTTTAGGAAAGTTTATGAGAACAGTCAGGTGATTCTGTAAGATTTGGAAAAAATAGGAAAGAAAACATTGATTGGCTGGTGTGTAAATGAAGATTTAAATGGCTTTGTTCTCCTCTCAGTAAATTAGGCAGTGACATCAAAGCTCATATCAACATTATGGAAAGTATGTCAGTTGCAATATGGATTTTCAAAAGAAATGCCGACAGTCCAGATGATATTTTTGATTTTTACTTTTGTGAATTCATGCAGCAACAGCAATATACAGATTCTAGCTCAGATAAATTTAAACAGTTTTTATACACTTTAAAGCAGTGATTCTCAAACGGTGGTACGCAAGAGAAAAATAGGTAAGCTACAAAACAAAGTATTTTTAACTAAATCAAAAAATAAAAACCCCAACATCCTGGTTAAGTTTTTCTCTAACACTCATTAATTTATGTACTCTAAGCTTTGTTTTAAGTCAATAGCCGCTCATAGACTTTAGCAAATTAATTAATTTTTACTTTCGTAAATATCCTTTTAGCCATAGACATAACAAAATTTGTCATAAAGAACTTTTTTTGAAATTAGTAATAGAAATGGATCTTGTCTTTAATAGTAAACAAAAATAAGTTCCTATAAACAATAAAAGCATCTCATTAATGTTCTTAAAGGCTGGCAGTGAAGCTGCTAGTATATTGTAAAACTTAGAAATAACGACCGTTTATTAGGAATTCTCACGTGATGTAAAAATTAATTTTATAACAACTAATAAATAATAGTACATGACTGTGATAAATGGGATTGTAATATTTAACAAAAATATATGGCAACAGTAAGACAGAGTTCTAAAGATTTTTAAAGTGTATGGAATTAAAGAATTGTAGTTTTATAGAGTTGGATGAAGCCAAGGTAATGTCATATTATGCAGCGAAAATTCTTCCCATATTTCTATGATAACGTGTATATGTTTAAAATATAACCCTTTAAAATGTCCCTTGCTTCACAAACGGAGAATGCGAAAAGAAAGCGAAAAGAAACTGCAACACAACGCAAACGACAATCAGAGAAAGAAAAACGTAAGCACCAAGAAAACATTCTTATGAAAACTCTTCGCAGCAGGTCAAGCATATGTCGCCTTGAGTCGTGTGAAATCATTAGATGGAATATTAATTGCAGAACAAGGTACTGTCTGTAGTCTAATTCATCTGCCTGCTTCCTGATGTAAGACTCATTATAGGAGTTGATTGATTTATTAGCATGCTTACACTTTATATCGCCACCATTTCCGGACTCGTATAGCTCTATTTTCAATTACAATAATTTTTTTGACATCGATTTGCTGTTTTTAACAGCAAGTATTTTGTCTTCTTGTTGCTTTGTATAACTTACTTTTCTATGTGATTTGAGAATATCGACCTTTGGTTTTGAAGAACTGGTAATAATTGTGCATTTAAATATTTGTAAAAAATAATAAAACAAACCTAGCTTTTCAAAATGGAAAAATGGCTAGGATTGATTAAGTGATTAATAGTTGATGGATCCAAGACAATCTGCTAACACTAAAAATATTGAAAAGAAAAGAAAAATTGCTTATATAAAATATAACTAGCGACCTGCTCCGACTTCGCACGGGTATAAAATATTAATGGTTATTTTAACAATGAATCGCAGTTCATAATCTTTTTCTGAACTTGCATACCTCACTTAAATTATGATTTTTGAAAATAATTTCCCTAATATTAAATTGATTTAACTCTAAATTTTAACCAAGATCTTAATAGAAAATTCCAATCCATAAATTATGGTTTTATTTAATCTAATCTTACCTAACCTTATGTACTTATAATTACTATAAGTGCGATTTAAAAATTAACCTTAGAATAGAATATCATTTATATTTTAAAACTACTATCATACAATTATTTATCGTAACTTACTTATAATTACTGATGCGTTGTCGCGCTGAAAGCTAGAGAGCTCCGATAATAAATGCGTCCAATCGCTGCTAAATTCAAAGTGCTATAGGGAGAACCGCGGCCTCCGACGTGCTATTTATAAGCACGCTCCCGCTGCCCTGGCCGGCCGGTACCGCCACAAACGCTATGTCCCGCAATTTTTAAATCTGTAGACCTTTTCAATGTGTACAATACTTAGTGCATTATTTGGATAAACATCGTAGGGTTCAGCCTGCGTTTGCAATGCAAGCGGAAAAAATGTAATTATTTACGACATCACATTAGAAACCTAAAAAATAACAGTATTTCTCCACTATTTAATGGATGTTATTATACACATAAACCTTCCTCTTCAATCACTCTATCTATTAAAAAAAACCACATCAAAATCCGTTGCGTAGTTTTAAAGATTTAAGTATACATAGGGATATAGGGACAGAGAAAGCGACTTTGTTTTATATTATTTAGTGATGATGAAAGTTATTTATCCTTTGGGTTTACTTGGAATGGAGATGAAATGGACCCTCAACCTCAATCTGTTGTTTGCGGTGAAGCCAATCAAAATTATTAAACCATCGTTTCTTAAAAAGACATCTTGAATCTAAGAGTGTCCATTTAAAATGATAAATCTGAAGAATATTTTAAAAGGAAATTATTGTTCAAAAATAGTAAACAAGTAATGAAAGGTTGAGTTATTTCAAGTAAAAAAGGCTTTTTAAGCTAGTTACTTAGTAAGCCTAAGAATTGCCAAGACTGGATAGGCTCACACTGTTGGAGAAAACTTTATATTACCAACAGCTAAAGATATTGTTTTAGCATTATTCAGTCAAAAATTGGCTAATGAATTTAACAATATTACGCTATCGAATGATACAGTTAGTTGACAAATTCATGAAACAAAAAATTTCATAAAAGAGACACTTAGTCAAAAGATAAAACACAGTGAGTGTTTT